GGAATCAGTGCATCATCTCGATTCGTATTTTTATCTTTTTAGAAATTTACAAATTATTCAAAAGAATTCTAGCTTGAGCAAAGTTGGATGTTTGAAACAAACCATCGCTGAGGTAGCGCAAATATTTTAATGGGTGATTGGCCCGAGCCGTACCCACGGAAATAGTAGCAGATAGGAGTAGCACTTTTGACTAAAAATCACAGATCTAGAGTTTCACTGGAGTTGTGTTGGGATAAGAGCACGTATTTTTCTCCAAGTTTTATCAAAATTCAACCAGAAGCAGGCAAAAGATAAAAGGCAAATAATAATAATTATTATTCTTATAAAAATATCAGTACTAATTGTAATTATGTTATTCAGAAAAGTCATTGTTTTTATCTTTTTGCTCCAGATATTCTGAATGAAGCGATTTAAAACGGTAAAGAAGATTAGTTAAATTCTCTCCAGTCTTTCCTGAGATTGGCATTATTTCTGTATTAATCTCTTTGGTTAGAAGTTGATAATTTTCCTGTGACATAAAGACAAGGACTAGTGTTTGTTGATTATAAAAAAAAATAAAAAATTCAGAGATCAATTTAAACTATAGCATACCTGTGCACTCGGCAAGTCTATCTTGTTTGCAATGATTAATTGTGGTCTCTCTGATAATTCTGGACTGAAATGTCTTAATTCATTGCGTAAAGCGTGAAGTTGGTTCCATGGTTCTGGTTCTGATAGGTCTAAAACCATGGCCAGTAGGCTGCATCGTTCGGCATGTCTCAGAAACCCAATTCCTAATCCCTTGTTTTTGTGGGAGTCTATCACAAGTCCAGGAAGGTCAGCCACTAAAACAGAAAAACATTCCACATCACTATGTGTTCTTATTTGCTTTTACCAAAGGATTTCTAATTTTACAATTGTTTTGTAACTTGCCAGCTAATTGAGTATGATCGCTGTATTGTACAATTCCAACATAAGGCCTCAGTGTTGTAAATGGATAAGGAGCAACTTTTGGCTTGGCCCTCGATATCGCCTGCAACAACGTACTCTTTCCTGCATTAGGAAATCCAATCTGTCAACATGTAAAAAATTTGTTATTTTAATAATTAATTCCAAATAACTCATACCAAGATCCTCAATTATGAAAGACACATATCATAGTAAAAACTTACCAGACCTATATCAGCCATACTACGCATCTCTATAAAGTACAGAATACTTTCTCCCGCTGCTCCAAACTCAGCAACCTGAGGGGTCTGATTTACATCTGTCCTGAAATAAGCATTGCCATGCCCACCTGCTCCTCCTCGAGCAGCAACAAATAGTGTGTCGTTTAGCTCCATATCACCCACAACTTTACCCTCCTCGTTTTTTATCACAGTTCCAATTGGAACCTGAAATAAAATAGTAGACCATTAAAGTATCAGAATGCACTTAACTTTCAAGCTTAAAAACAACCACATTGTAAAATCGAATCACATTTACCTTAACTACTGTGTGCTTAGCATTTTTACCAAAGCGATTCTTGTTTAAGCCTGGCTCTCCATTGTCTGCTCTGATTACTGCTGGTATGTGAGCTAGATCTCTGACATCTGTGCTGGCCTAGGACAATGAAAGATTCCATATACTTTGTTGAAGATTCTGAAATTTTATACTGTACAAGAGATTAAGATGTGACACGTACATGAAGAACTACATGCCCACCACTGCCTCCATCCCCACCATCAGGCCCCGCGTACTCATTGGACCACAAGCTCAGGAGCGAAATGCATCCATCACCACCGTTTCCCCCTTGAGCTTGTATACGACGGTAGTCAATCAAACTTACTGCCTGAAACGAAACAAACACTATTGAGTGACAGGGGAAAAACTTCAAATTAAAATTTCAAAATTAAAATTATACCTGGTTTCTGAAGGATTTCTCCTTTTTGGGCCTGAGGGGAATAGCTGTTGCAGTTGAAGATAGAAGACAAACAGTATTCTGAACAGCAGACCAAGATGAAAGCTGAACGGCAAGTCTTTGAATTGACAGCATGCTTCTGAAAAATGTCAAAGTCAGAAAAATATCAAGTTTTAACATCCAAAAGAGAACAATGTTTTCTATTATAGATAGGTTGCATTTGATTTGAGTAAAAGTCACCTCTGCGCATCACAAAATTATTTATTTCACATGAATATTCAGAACTTTTTCCAAAAGTCTACCAAGAACATTTAGATGAAAATCGATTAATGTTTTTCTGCATACAGGATAATTATAAGATAAGTAAGTTAGTCGATAGCATACACTTTGCTCATTACTGCTAGGGGAATGGAACTCACTAATTTTAGTTACATTTTCAATTATTTCTCCTGCAGTATTCCACAACACTTCACAAAACTTCTCCTCTGTAAAATCACTATTGATGGTAAATGACATATCAAAACTATAAAGCACAGGATAAGGACAAATTCCAAGAACTGTGGGTTTTCCCAAACGCACAGTGGTTTTTATATTTTCAGCCCACAGCTGCTTCCAGCTAGTCAAAGAAAAAATGCTCATGACGAGAATATCAATATAAATTAACAAAAATGGCCCTGAGTTCCAACCCTGATCATCATGAATCACTTTAGCGAATAAAATTTCATCTGTGCTTTCACAAGCCTGCAGGAAAACTTCCTTAACAATTTTAGAAGTAGAAGAGCAAGTCTTTTCTTTAATTTGATATTTTCCAATGTTGAAGACTGAAATAAATCTAGACAAAGCCTCCTTCAAGAGTTGATAATTTTGAGAGCCAAAAAAATATGTTTGTATGGAAAACGGACTTTCTTTAAAGTCCATTCCCAATTTATTTGGAATACAAAGTGAGAACATAATTGCATCAAAATTTGTCTCCTTCCACAATTGAACAGTTGAAGAAATTGTTTCCATCATTTGAGACTGAGTGATCAGACTATTTTCAAATTTGTGGTGACACTTGCATTTGGAATCTATTTGTGTTCTAAGGTAAGAATAAACAAAAGAGATAGGTGCAGTACCATTTTCCAAAATATTTTGTCTTATTTTCCTTTTGTATATTGGCTGAGAATTAAGATCATCAGTTATTCTATTCTGGTCATAGTCATCTAGATAACTTTCTATATGAGAAGTTATAAGATTTTTAACATGAGAAAATACATGAACTACACCATCCTGAGAATGGAAGCCCTTTTCAAGACTTCGATAGCCAACATTTCTGTATGTAGGAAAATTGGTCCAGTCAAAAGGAGAACATTCCTCCAATAACAAATTTGCATGACCTGCCATATCTACCACTTGCCAGGAATCTGTCCATATCCTTTTGCCCTGATAATCTGCCCCCTGACCTCTACATAAGGAAATTACAATGCGCCCACTAGTCTCAGCTAAAAGTTTAGATGCACTAAGGAAAAACAGGCGAAGCAGTTCTCTATTAAGATGTATTTTCATTTTGCCTCCAGTATGTGGGAAATTGAACACAATCTTGTCAAATTTTCGGTCCATCAGGAGCTCATTAGAATGAATCTTGGTTGCATCGATTCCTGTCATTACATTGACTCCTGGAAAACAATTATATTGTAGGGCCTTAGATGCAGTTACACTTAGTTACCTAGTAAACCACCTAAATCATAAAATTTAAAGGGACTTACCACGAGTTTTCAAAATATCAATATTTTCAATTTGAGTTTTTGTGAGTAATGATTCGAAGCATGTAGCGGTAAGATTAAGTTCAATTCCTAGACTGGAAAGTCCAATGGAAAAGGAAAAATTCCCCTCTCCCAATAAGAGAACTGATTCGCCATTTCCAAAAATATCAGAACGCATTGCATGAATTTGTTTACAGCTGAAATTAGAATTGAGTCACAGATAAACAAACAGCCAATCTTAATCGAACATGTTCGTCAAAAACATCATAAATTTCCAAGAACAGAAGAAAAAGTGCTTATTTAAACCAGTCCAATAGGAGAAACCAAAAAAATAATACTAACCCGTTTAAAAACTAATTATTTGACAACGAAAACAGCACGTACATAACCAGTTGTCAAAATGTTTTAGATAGAATTGCAGCTTTGGCTGATCAATCACCGCACGAGTTTCTAAAATTTACTAACAAAAAATAGAGATGTATGTATACATGCGAAATGATTGGTTATGTTTCGCTATTTCGCTCAGCTGCCTGTCTGCCTATACTGCCGATGCGCCTTCTTTGCACAGGCCACTATTCGCCAGCTGCCAGCTGTCTGCTGCGAGCTTTTTGTTTGTATTTTTGTTTACATCCATGCGAACTGTCCGCTTCTAGGTTACTTTTAACGCCTTGCTTTGTAAATGTCATTCTTTTCGATCTCAAACCACTTCCCTCATTGGGATATATGATTGGTTTATTTTGTGGAGATATTTTTAGATTGGATTGATTATTATTTGAACACCCTGAGCGCTTTTTGTGGATAATATAACCTAATCTTTCTGTGTGTCAGCGGCTTTCAGCGCAGTTAAAAATAAGGATTGCAAATAAAAGGGCCTTCGTCACCTACCGAAAGTGCTCTAATTCAGTAAAATAGACCTCAAGGTTAAAGATTAAAGTAAAGTGTGTGCTTTACTTTATTCAACTAATTCAATAGGAGCTGTTTCTGAATGGCAGCAACGTCTCACATAGAACCCTTGTTTTCTAGATTAATTCACTTGCTTGTTTAACAGCAATTTATTTTGTTATTTCCTTTTGGTTCATGGGCAGGAAAGCATGACCTAAAGAGACAGAATCTCAAGACGTTCTGTCTGTCTTGTGAAAGAACCCTAACAAAACTACTTGTGACCCTCAGAAGTATACAATGGTTAGCGGGTAGAATTGATTGATGCCTGGTCAAACTTGCTGCTAGAAGATACTCCTAGACAATGGTTTTGCCCCCCCCCCTCCCCTCTTTTCCCCCC